AGAAAAGTATTATTGGGAGTTGTCTGTAGGTTTCTAAGGAGTAATTGTAAGGTAGGGCATAGCATTAAAGATTCATGCAGCAGTAATCATGGGTGACTGTTACCTCCAAAAGACTGAGCAATCCACATTAGCTGTGAAACATTAGCATATGAATTCCTGGAAGGTGGACAAGACAGTTTTGTAGATCAGTATGTTGACAATCCAACCAGCAAACAGGCTATCCTAGATTTGGTTTTGTGCATGGAGAAGGGATGAATTAATAATCTTGTAATAAGATGTCCTTCAGGAAAAACATGACCATAATATGATAGAATTATTTAATGGGGTAGAAAGTAGAGTTAGTCCAAACTGAAACTAGGGTCCTAAATCTAAACAAAGGAAACTATGAAAGAAACAAGGGATGAGTTGGCTGCGATTTACTGGGTAACTTCAGTTAGAAGGCACGATAGTGGATAGGCAATTGCTAATATTTAAGAGAAAAACCAAGCATTTCAACTATTACACTTTTGGGTGAAAGAACATAATCAGAAAAGTGGCCTAACCACTGCTAACAAAAGTAACTAAGGATAGTATCAGATCCAAAGAGGAATCATATGAGTTTGCTAGGAAAATTAGCAGGCCTGAAGGCTGGGACAAAGTTAGAATTCAGCAAAAGGGAACTAAGAGTCCTACAGTTGTACAGCATGGAAACAGACCCTTCAGTCTAACTCGTTCTTGCCGACCAGATATCCTAAATGAATCTAGTCCCAGTTATAGAGTCATAGATACCAGAAATAGACCCTTTGGTCCAATCAGTCCATGCCAAACATAATCCCAAACTAAACAAGTTCCCACTTGCCTGCTCCTGCCCTATATCCTTCCAAACCTTTCATATTTGTGTGCTTACCCAAAAGGCTTTTAAACGTTGTAATTGTACCCACATCTACCACTTCCTCAGGAAGTTCATTCCACATGCAAACCACCATCTGTGTAAAAGATTTGCCTCATGTCTTTTTTAAATCTCTCTCCTCTCACCTTAAAAATGTGCCCCCTAGTCTTGAAATTCCCCGTCCTAGGGCAAAGACAATTACTATTAACTCTATCTATTCCTCTGATTATTTTATAAACTTTTATCAGGGTGCCTGTCAATCTCCTAGCAGTGAAAAAAGTCCCAACCTATCCACCCTTCATTTAAACTTAAACCTTCCATACCCGCAACATGCTGGTAAATCTCTTCTGAACCCCCTCCAGCTTAATAACATCCTTCCTATAACTGGGCAACCAGAACTGGACACTGTTTTCCGGAAGAGGCCTCACCAATGTTCTGTACAACCTCAATATGACTTCCCAACTCCTATACTCAAAGCTCTGAGCAATGAAGGCAAGCATGCCAAACTCCTTTTCAACCGTTCTGTCAATACAAACTGTCACACAAACTTCAAAGAATTATGTACCTGCACCCCTAGGTCCCTCTGTTCGACAACACTACCCAAGGTACTACCATTTACTGTATAAGCTCTACCGTTGTTTGTTGTATCAAAATGCAATTTGCCAGCATTTGGCCCCTATTCCTCTAAAATCCTTCCTATTCACATGCCCATCCAGATGCCTTTTAAGTGCAGTAATTGTACCAGCCTCCCCCACTTCCTCTGGCAGCTCATTCTACACACACACCAACCTCTGTTTGAAAATGTTTCCCATTAGGTACCTTTTAAATCTTTCCCCTCTCACCTTAAACATATGCCCTCTTGTTCTGGACTCCCCTACTTTTGGAAAAAGACCTTGTCTATTCACCCTATCCTTGCTCCTCATGATTTTATAAACCTCTATAAGGTCACTCCTCAGCCCCCGACATGCCAGAGAAAACAGCCCCAGCCTATTCAGCCTCTCCCTATAGCTCAAACCCTCCAACCCTGACAACATCCTTGTAAACCTTTTCTGCACCCTTTCAAGTTTAACAACATCCTTCCTATAGCAGGGAGACCAGAATTGAACACAGCATACCAAAAGTGGCCTAACCAATATCCTGTACTGCAGCAACATGACATCCCAACCCCTATACTCAATGCACTGACCAATAAAGGCAAGCATACCAAATGCCTTCTTCACTACCCTGTCTACCTGCAACTCCACCTTCAAGGAGCTATGAATCTGCACCCCAAAGTGTATTTTTCAGCAACACACCTCAGGACCCTACCATTTGCCTTACCAAAATGCAACACCTCATATTTATCTAAACTAAACTCCATCTGCCACTCCTTGGCCCTTGACCCTTGGCCCATTTGATTAGGGTTCCATTGTTCTTTGAGGTAACCTTCTTTGCAGTCCACTACACCACCAATTTTGGTGTCATCTGCAAACTTACTAACCATTCCTCCTACATTCACATCCAAATCATTTACATAAATGACAAAAAGCAGTGGACTTAGCACCAATCCTTGCAGTATACCATGATCACAGGCCTCCAGTCCAAAAAACAACCCTCCTCTACCACCCTCTGTCTCCTACCTTAAAGACAATTTTATATCCAATTGGTTAGCTCATCCTGGATTCCATGTGATCTGACCTTGCTATCAGGTGGAACCTTGTCAAATGCCTTGCTGAAGTCCGTACAGACAACATCCACCGCTCTGCCTTCATCAATCTTTTTCATCACTTCTTCCCAAAACTCAATCAAGTTTGTGAGACACAGTTTCCCGTGCACAAAGCCATATTGACTATCCCTCACCAGTCCTTGCCTTTCCAAATACATATAAATTCTGTTTCTCAGAAATCCCCTCCAACAACTTACCCACCAATGACATCAGTCTCACTGGTCTATAGTTCCTTGGTTTTTCCTTACCACCTTTCTTAAATAGTGGCACCACATCAGCTAACCTCCAGTCTTCCAGCACCTCATGAATGGCTATCGTTGATACAAATATCTGAACAAGGTGTCCAGCAACCACTTCCCTAGCTTCCCACAAAATTCTGGAATGCAGCTGATCAGGTCCTAATCAAGTCACCTGATCAGAGTTTGACAAAAGGGGGAAAATACTTTGAGAGGCCACTTGCAAGGAAGCAGACTGCAAGACCTTCTAAAAGAACGTAGAAAGAAAAAGAGGAGTAGATAATGTGAGCTCCTTACTGTCTGTAAACAGAAAAGTGATAATGGAGAACAAGGAAATGTCAGAGCCATTAAACTATTTAGTTCCATTGTCACAGAAGTCAAAAAAACCTCCCAAAAAGGCTAGGGAAGCCAGGATCTATTGGGAAGGAGGAACTGAAAGACAGGCAGGAGAGGGAGCTAAGGATTGAAAATTGAATCTACTTCAAAAGAATGAAGAAGAGTAGAATTCAGAATTTTTTCAAACTCTGCAGCCAAATTGGATCATTCACTGCTAGAATATTGAAAAATGTTGTTGAAATAATACAAAGGAAAAGCTAAAAGAAATATCCTCAACACAAGCTCACCATTAAACAGATTAAAAAAAGACAATGAATTTGAGTTGTACCAGAAAGTCATGACCACAGATTCTTTATGCACTCATTTCCTTTCTCTGGGCCACACTTTACCTTACTTTGTGCTGATTTTAATTGGATAAAAACCTAGACATCTGAAATACCCAATTTATTAAACTAAGTACTACAAAGCTGGACAAGCAGCTAAAAACTTCCAAGCATCCAAAAATGCCAAGAGTTAGAAAGTCTAACAAAACCATTGATAATATCATAGCAGAATACCAAAGCAACAAAAGATTCTGGAGGAATCAGATTTTCAGACTACCTTAAAGCAAAGCTGTGTCAAAGTGTTTACTCACTTGATCTGGCAAGCTTGTAAACCCTTGATTAAAGCCTGATTAATGATCTTCTATGCCTTTGCCTTAATAGAATGAATTTTTAGCTTTCATCAAAGGAAATTTTGTTTGTAATCCTGCAAAACAGCCACAGGATTTGGACAACTAAACAATAGGGGCAGTTTCTTTAGATCAAGAGGATTTATAGATTATTGTCCTGTATGGCCTAACAGGATGACATGAAAAGTTCCACTCTACTATTTACATTTATTAACTGGCTTACATCAGCTTGTTATGTATTGACTGCACATTTAAGAGTGTGAAAATCCACATGCGAGTTTATAAAGATCTCCTGCCTAGATTTTTTTTATTATTCATTAACAAGATGAGGGTATTGTTGGTTAGGCAGCATTTATTTGTCCATCCCTAATAGCCCAGAGGGCAATTAAGAGCCAACCCCATTGCTATGAGTCTGGAGTCTCATGTAGGCTAGACTAGATATGGATGGCAGTTTCCTTTCTCTAAAGGGCATTAGTGAACTAGTTGGATATTTCCAACAATTGACAATGGATTCATGGTTGTTAGACTCTTAATTCCAGATTTTTAAAATTGAATTCATATTCCACCATCTGCCATATCAGGATTTGACCTGGGTCCCAGAACATTACCGGAGTCTCTGAATTAATAGTCCAGTGATCTAATCCCCTTTTAAACTGCCTCCACCACACTTTTTGGCAGTTTGTTACAGACCCAAATCACTTGTGTGAAATTGTTTTCTCCTCACAGTTCTTCTCCTTCTTTTACTAATTACTGTAAAATTGATTCATCATTTACAATCATCCAAAAGAAGAAGTTCAAGAACAGAACCAAAAGATGCGGAGAAAAAAACAAACACACGCAGCCAGCTACAACAAACTTCTGAATTTCAACAATTCATAGCTGCAGAGGCCCTTCAGCCTCTGCCTTCCAGGATTAAAACAATACTCCCACTGGTACTTTTAAAAAAAAAAGCATGCATTTTAAAATAGGGAAATAAAATTGGTTAGTTTAATGGTTAGTGATTGTCTTATTACAATCCGCTTGTTTACTTATCTTCTATCTGACGAATTTTCCCTTCTCTTTTACTGAAAACATAATTTTTTCACAAAGACCTTCCCAATGAAAATAAATCTTGGCCTTGATCCTGTCCAAATACATTATCTTTTATAAGAACAGCCAGAGAACAATCACTAACCATTAACTTACCCAGTTTTTTTTCCCCCAAGTTAAGTTTGCAGAGGTCAGTTATATTATTCCACAACTTCCCTTGCTGAGATCAGAGAACTCAGCACTGACTTGCAATTTAGAATTCTGTGATGTTTCTAGGCTGTGTGGTTCATACAATGGATAATCTTGTTCAGTCGTCAAGAGAGTGTATATCTATCTCATTAAAAAGAAATATGTCCAAGTTATCAACAGCACAAACCATGCAAATGATACATCAATAAGACCATTATTACACATTTTGTCTAAGAAACTGACTCTTTGATGAGTCATGTTTTAAATCCACATCATCAATTATTCTGCAGTAGAATGTAATATATTGGTAGTAGATGTTACTGCAAAACATCTTTAAAACATTTACAGCACTTAAAAGATGGCACAAACAGATCAAATCCAAGACTACACTGAGCTCCGACTTATGGGAGCTGAAGAGCAATTGAATATTCTGGTGATGCTGTTTATCCTAAAATGGCTGAATATGGCCAGTGTTGACTGAAGCTGAGGCAACAGTATGACAAACAAGTTGTGGCTACCATTTGTATGAAGATTGCAAGAGTAGAAGGAAAAAAGAAGGTAAAAATGAGGAAAGTGACTGGAAGATGAGGAGGTTTTCTTTCTGTTTGAAAGTCAACAATGTCACAGGAAATTAAAAGATTAGAAGAAAAATTGGTTTTGCTCTCCTGCTCTTAAATCACAAAAAACACAAATGAAGATAACGAATTCCGTGGTAGAAGAATGACAAAAATCAAGAAACATAATCTTGGGGTTTTCTCCAATGACATGGTACAAAGAAGGTCAAATTAGTTGAAGTAATCATGCTCTTGTCAGAGACGGGAAGAGGGAATGTTTGTTATTTTATTATGTATGTTGTACTGCAGGGGATCTCAGCCTATGAGAACAGTTCAGGGATCTGCAAGTTGGTTTGTTGCATTAGTAGCCATCTCAGTTATTTATTTTTTCATCAGTAGTCTCCCCTGCTCCCCAGTATTTTGAGATATTGAATCTGAGATACAGAAGCTGTGCATGCGTAGGAAGTGTTGTATGATTTCATCCACTGGACAAAATTGCACTGGGGCCTGCACCAATGGGGCTGCAGCACTGGAAACATTCCAGTGCTTCAGACTTCATTTCAGGGAAGAGAAATGTACTTTATTAGTCAATTCTGACCAATACAACAAATTAATAGTTATTTTTCAAACCTCATGACAGAATAACTGCTACACACTTGTGAGCTAGAGACATCTTTAGTGAGAACATGGAGGATAAATTGCCACACTTTTTCATCAAGCCCGTTAGAACTGCTCACTGTCATTTCATCAGTCAAGTTCAGTGAGATGTCACAATTAACATGAACAATTATATTTGCATTATCTCCCAATGTTAACAAATCCATTTAAAAAAAAACAGGGTCTGGATCTGTTCTGTGTCTTGTTTAAAACCTAATCAGTTCTTCCTTGAGCCACACCGTGTATCAAGTCTCGCTTAAATCCAGCTATTACTTTTTCAGATACATTGCCAGCAAACAGACTACAGTGAGGTGAAAATATTATCTCCTCCCACCTTCAGCGGTGGAGGTAAAAAGCCTGCAGTGCCCTGAAGGTTGTTGATTCTTTTAAAATATATGTATATTTATGCGATCTTAAAATTCTGAAAAAATAACTGCCTCCACAAAAAAATGTACAAATTCTCTTTCAAAGCTTGATGGACTAGATAACACTGTATATTACAGTGCAAGTTAGAAAATGTTTCATGATGTACAAACACAAGATTTTAGACAAATATTTTTCTCTTCCAAAAGAAGACACCATTTTAGATGCAACCAAGGGTAAACATACCTTATCCATTGTGAGCTGTTTAAAAACAGGATAGTACTTGTGCAGACGTAACTTCTTTAGCCAGTCAAGGATACCAATTTGTTCTGGATTCTGTGGATCAGTCTGTGGCCAAGTGACTGATGCAGAGCTTCCACTAACTGAATGGGAACATGAAGAAGCAGGGATTGATGGCTGCATTGTGTTATAGGAACACTGGATGCTGGCTACACCACATATTGGCCTGAAGAACAAACAAACATCAAAGTGAATTTAGCAGTATTACTTTGATAAAACACAAATCAAATGAACTACAGACTCTCATGGGGGTATTCCTCTTGCAATTGTCTGGACAGCTCTGGATGATTAATAATCTTGCCAGAGTGTTCTGCCTCCACCTTATCCTAAATAGCCTATTAAAAGGAAGTATGAAGAGTTTGGGTGGGGAATAATAAATAAAAATGCATTCACATAATGAAAATACAATGAAATCTGATTAGATACTAACAATAGTAGAGTCTGTTTTCGTGATACCTAGCAATCATTCATGTGTCAAATCAGAAAATAAACATCATAACCCAAATTTTTTCTGACCATCATCTACAGAACTTTCACTGGCTTTCAGGTGACAACTCTGTTATTGGGCATCTGATCCACCTCTTAATTGAGGATCTATAGTATGTTTGAGTGAGCAAGCAACAGTCAATCAGATTCTAAAAATCCTCAGACATGTGGAATGTAAACTAGAACGTATAGTTTTAAATTATGTACAAAGTAAAAATGAAAAGTCAGCATCAAAAAAGGGATCAAGACAGTGAGTGAGAAAAAGAATTTTTTAAAAATTTCCAACATTAACTAACTTCTTTAGAAATTAGACTAAAATGAAATGCTCAGTGCCAGAAAGCTCATATGGATCATCTGAACTATCAAGTAATTATCATTTATTTCACCACTGAAAATGCATTCATAAATGAATCAACATTCTGGGATTACCACTGACCTGAAACTGAACTAGACCAACCAGATAAATACCGTAGCTACAAGGGCAGGTTAGAGGTTAGGAATTCTGGGGAGAGTAGCATTCTGGGGAAACTACCATTTATAAAACTGAAGTCAGGAATGTGATGGAAAACTTTACACTTGCCTGATGGATGCAGCTCCAACAGCATTCAAGAAGCTCCACATCATCCAGAATGAAGTGTCCTACTTGACTGGCAGCCCATTTTTAAGTTTTCGTTTATTGGAGGTGGGCATCGCTTGCTAGGCCAGCATTTATTGTCCATCCCTAATCACCCATGGCAGTTAAAAGTCAACCACATTGCTGTGGTCTGGAGTCACATGCAGGCCAGATCAAGTAAGGATAGCAGTTACTTCCTCAAAGGGACTTTAGTGAATCAGATAGGTTTTTCTGACAATTGACAATGGTCATCAGACTCTAAATCCAGCTTGTTTTTTTAAAAAACTGAACTCAAATTTCACCATCCACTACGGCGGACTTCAAACCTGGGTCCCCAGAACATTACCTGGGTCTTTGGATTAATAGCCTGACAATAACACAACTCGGTTATTGCCTCCCAATGCACCATTTTCAACATTCACTCTCCCCACAGTGGTGGTAGTGTATGCCCTCTACAAGACATACTGCACTAATTCGCACAGACCCTTTCAACATAATCAGATGACCTCCACCACCTGGAAGCAGAAGCGAAGCAGATGAATGAGAACACCTCCCAGTTCCTCTCCAAGCCACACACAATCTTGACTGCCTTCTCAAGTGCTGGGTCAAAATCCTGGAATTGCCTTGATAACAGCACTCTGGTATACCTACACCCCCAGGACTGCTGCAGCTCAACATGTGGCTCATGACCACCTTTTCAAGGGTAATTAGAAATGGGCAATAAATGCTGCCTAGGCAGAAACACCTACATCTCATTAACAAATTTTAAAAAAAACCTGGAGCCACAGTTCTCAAGAATTGAAATTTTAGGTAGAATGTCAGATAGAGTTAGAGAACACTGTCTTATCTCAAAGCAAGCAAGATGACTTGAGGCAAACTTAAAGTAGGTCGTTAGAATTTCAAAAAAAGGCCAATGCAACTGCAACCTGCCCAACTGTAGTTTTAACAACATGTGTTTTTATGAAACTTCTGATGTAATAAGATTCCTGATGCAATTCATACGGGAATTATAAAGCAAAACTTGACATATTACGAGACATTAGGGCACATGATCAAAAGCATGGTCAAAGAAGTAGATTTTAAGGAGCATTTCAACAGTGGAAAGCAAGGTTGGGGGAAGTAGTGGGGGGAAGCAAGTTAGTTGCCAAGATATTTTAGGGAGACTGTGTCTGCAATTTAACAACTTAAAATTTTACAACCTGCTTGGTAAGTTTCCTAGGCCACAGGAAACCTGCTAACTGAAGAATGGTATGAAGAACCATATCCATCAGGTAACTGTCTTTACAACTCTGTAGGCCAAGAACAGGACTGCTTTCCCTCAGTTCACCAAGTATACTTTCAGGTAATCATTTCCCATACATTATTACCAAACCTCAACCAATGTTAAGCTCATCCCATGATGGATTGCCCTTTACTTCTCCCTGACAGTCCCTGCAGCTGTCTTCTCCACCCAACAGCCCATCAATCTGATAGGCTAGAAGCCAGGAAACACATTGAATGAAATGTAACCAGTATCACCGTTAAATTCTACAGGAAAACCTGTATACCTGGCTTATAGGTCACCTGCCCCCCAGCTCCATATGTTATGGATCAGGCCAGAGACCCTCAAAATATTTTAAGGTAACCCAGACCCTAATCTTTTCTTATCTTAAAAGGTAGATGTGAATTGTGTGTTCCAGATGTGAAGCAACTGGTCAAACTATTTGACATTAAGCAAAACACAATTTAAACGCTATAGTTAAAATACAAACAAAAGGAAGAGAAATTTAGAATAACTTACCTACTGGAAATATTAACCAAATAATAGATACAGCACCTATTACTAAGTGACTGTCCCAATATAGCAACATCCCATAAGCACACCCTTTGGCAAAAAGGTAAATTCAGACTCAGATTCTTACATGAAGTTTTCTAATCCAGGAGGAAACAACATCAAGAGAGATTTTAGAGAAATTAGCAGCTAGGAATCCTTGCTGAAAATTCCTACTCTTCTGGGACCCCAAACAGCTTCTGATTGCTAAAGCTAAAAAAAAATTGAAAGCCTGGTCAGTGAGAACTGACCACTCCCCTCCCATTGTTACAATTGTTTTTTTAAAAGAAGTAAATACTTAAGACGCCTTTAGGTCTTAAGTGTTTTCAGTAGCCAGTTTAGTAACTCTGTCTTTACAACCTCTCTTCAAAAAAAAGACCCAGGACAAAATAACCTTTTTAATGTGATAGTAAAATCACACAGATAAGTCAATTGATCTTGTGCAGAAACATCACCCAATAACTAGAAGCTACTTCAGTTTGGGATCACCAATATTTCTCTTGAACTTAATGATGTTACTGAGTATTTATTCAGCTGTTTTCTTTGATGGTTTGATTATAAGTGCTTTTGACGTTTTTGTTAAGTTTTTATTTTGAGTACTGTGGAATACCAGGATGTGTGACTTTAAAATGTAACTATCAATACAATCTAGTGCTGTAAGGCCATCTTTTGGAGCAAATATGAATTTTTATTCACCCACATTAGAGAAAAAAATCTTCCCCTGCCAATTGTGTTTTAAAGAACAGTAAGGTAAATTTAAATATGTGGATGAATGTCTAAGGCATATCCAAAGTCTCCCCTATTTTTTGAGAACATTATGGATCTTTTATCAAGAGCAAAGCAGCTGTCAGTTACGATCAGCCTCTATTTCCTCATCCGGCCAACTCTGGGCACCCAGCTACCCCCACCAATATTCAGTCTGCACAGCAACTATTTTAAAATGAAAAAATTAACACAATACTCTGTCAGTACATCACACATTTCAGTGTGGTAGTTCAAATGTAATGATTTGATCCCTGGGATCAAATAAAGAATAACACTGAAATAGATTTTTAAACATGAGATGTAGGTTAGAGTACATAGAACAATAACCTTTATTGCCTGTGAGCATTTTTGGGTTGTCACCCACCCTTCCATGTCTGGCCACCTGATCAACACTTGGGTCCTGCTCCCCACTTGGCCAACACTGTGGCCCAGCTAACACTTGGCAGCCTCTCTGAACAGCTCGCTAATCAGGCCTCCTCTGTTGTGACCACAAGCAGCCAAAGTAATTCTTCCAATCACAGGTTCCCTCCCTCCTGTCCTTTCTGTTCCTTCAATCACAGACATTGCCTCTTGAGGAGCATTAAGTGTGGGAGAAAGACAACCTGTGACTGGAGTAGCTGGAATAACCCGAACGGGAGAAACAGAAACTCCGACTGGAAGGGCAGTTCTCACAGATTCTGTTTCTCCTGTGTGGGCAAACATTCTCCAATTGACTTGAATTTTCTGGGTTGGTTTTGGGGACAAATTTTCCAACCATTCCTAGGTGCAGTGAACATTGCTACACAGGTGCAAACAGTTAAGGCTTCACAGCAGCTCAGTGGTTAGCTCTGCTGCCTCACAGCGCCAGGGACCCACGTTCAATTCCACCCTCGGGTGACTGCCTGTGTGGAATTTGCACATTCTCCCCATGTCTGGAGTGCTCCGGTTTCCTCCCACAGTCCAAAGATATGCAGGCTAGGTGGATTGGCCAAGCTAAATTGCCTGTAATGTTCAGGGATGAGTAGATTAGGGGGATAGGTTCTGGGTGGGATGCTCTGAGGATTGGTGTGGACTTGTTGGGCTGAAGGGCCTGTTTCCGCACGGTAGGAATTCTATGACTGTCAATTGGTACAATCAATATTCAGTGTTGTACGGTGTGTTATTTTGCTGTGCTGAGAAGAATGATGGCAACATACTCAAATATCTTATGGTGAATTTGACTTCACCAAATTGCTCAGGATCTGTTTCCCAATGTCTGCTTCACACAGCAAGGCTCCAGACCTTGTTTGTCAATTGTCTACTGAACTATGAGAATCCTCCTGGGAAGGGAGACATAAATTAAGGCAAGCTTCTTTAGCTGGTAGGCGATGTGTTGGGCCACAAGAGATGAATTCTGGGTTGATCATCTCAATGATCAATCAAGTGCTTAAACAAGAAAGATTTGCAATTCACCAGTGAGGTTAATTAATCAGGATACTTGCAGATCGCCTGTGAAAGGCACATCATGGTGATTTTAGTATATTTCAGTTCTGTTGAAATCTGGAGGCTTTATAATTAACTGTTTGTATCTTAATACTCAAAAGGTGATGGTGGGTAGGTACAGGGTTTGGGGAGGTATACATTTTTAAGAAAGCAGAAGCATATCTACTTCGAAAATAATTCAATAAGTTTCACACTTCTCTGATTTCCCCAACAGCTTTAGATTTTAAAGGACAGCCTATAGGAGGCAGTGTTTCTCAATAATTCTGCCACCTTGTAATATCTAATTTCAGAATGACAATTAACTTCTTTCTTTTAAAAACAATGCCTTAGTACTCCATATGTTTCGGTCAATTTCTCAGCTTAACTTATTCCATTTAATAAAATCCCTGCATACAGAATTTCTGATGAAATTTTCAAATAATCCTCAGCGTTCCAAAGTGTTGTGCCCTGTAGAATATATATCTAATCCAGCTCATATCAAAATCTCATTTGGATAGCATGGCATTATAAAACCCGATAATTAGCCCTGTTAACTAACTTTGGTTAGTTGCTTGTATTTAGTTTATGTCTCTGAACAACAATCACAAATTGGCCATTTCAAAAGGATATCTAATAATACATTCAAGTACTTCAATTTTGTCAAAGAAAACATCTACCAATCAAATTTTTAAGCAGGTGCAGACTAGCACTACAATTCTTCGTATGCGCTGAATGTTCTGGTGCTTGTGAAGAACAAGACAGGGCGTGTCTGGTCAGCCCAGAGTTCTTAATGCTTTTTGGGAACATCTGCAGACAGCAGTATACCTGTAGAGTACTGGTGGTCCAAAAACTCAACCTGGAACCCACGTGGCAGTAAAAAGGCAAGTCCGTGGATTTCGAAGAGTTCTGCAGCAGGGGAAGAAGCTCCAAACCAAAAAGGCTTTAATGCAGGCTTTGGAGAGTTTGCTCTTGGAAAAACCATAGTAGCCATTTGGTACAGCTAAGAACTGGCGTTATGGCTCAGCAGAGTCCCTAGGAACCATCCAGTGCAGTTGGATCTTGGAAACAGCCCTGAGAATCATTGATGTTTCACTGCAAGTGAGAGTGAATGAAATTCAAGCAGTACTTGCTTGTTGTATATGAAAAATATTGCAGCTCTGAAAAATCCAGGGGCAGTGCCAGCTTAACGAAGTTAGTTGTGTGAAAGAAGTGTAATTGTGAAATTCCTCATAAATGCAACAAAATTTTCATGAAATTATGTGGCCTACAGAGTGACAATACAATCTGGGTATGATGCTTGGAGGGTCATGGGTTCTTATTTGACTGGATCTTGTTTACAATGTCCTCTGCAGGTGTTCAACCATACTTTGGTAACTCATATTTACCTCATGTTAATTCTGATAATTTGAATACAGGTTATATAAATATTGTAAATTGTTCTAATTTTATAAGCTTCACTATGTAAAGTTATTTATTCAAAACAGTGGAATCTTGTGGCTTTATTCTCTTATTGGGTATTGTAGATCTCAATGTTTGTCTACTTTAAACAAAAAAAAATGAATTACTGTGCCCCAAGCAGATTGATTTGGCAGTCTCATCATTACATGCTATGTCACTTTGAGTAAGCAGGTTTAATTTCAAATGTAGTGTGTGATTATATGGTTTCAAACGATTTGTCAACAATATCCAACTAGATTTAAAGTTTGCTTTCATCGTGCATAAAATACACAATCTTACAAACAAAAACAATGCCAGTTACTCATCTACAAGAATATATGCACTGAAAACAATTAATTTAGAATACATTCATGGTTACAAGTCATCTCTCATTGATCTTAATTAACAGAATTTACTTAACAGGTGAAATTATCCTGCATATTCAGAGTACCTGCTCATAAATGTAAATAGTTTTAGTTTCAAAGTTCTTACCAAAATACACTATTTCAGAGAAACCAGCCGTGTGTTTGTTTTAATCTATTGTAACTCTAAATAAAAATAGTCCTAAAATAAGAAAATGCTATTAACATATAAACAGAAAGCTGGACTTCTGGAATTTGAGTTTTCTATATTTTTGCACATATACAGTAACTAAAGGTCCACATAATTTAACTAATAAAATATCGCACTCAGTCATCATGCACAAAAAACATGCTTACCTTACAGCTGCACCAGTGCTTGTGTTAGCTTTATGTAACATCATTGGTATGGAGTTGGCATCTGAACAGGAAAAATACATAGCAAGCATTACAAATAATTTTCCTTTCAGCTCATGCAAATTCATATTCTACAGATATAATTTAAACTTTCACACCCATGAGAATCATAAATACATCTTTTCACAATGGACATGCCCAATAGTAAACACACTGAATTTTTAAAGATACACTTTTTCTTAATACATGCTTCTACATTTCATGAATGAACCCAGCCAACTGAAACGCAACATTCTACTACTGTATCAAACCTATACAATTAAACTGCTTAAACAGAAATCAACAACATTACAGCATACATTTGTATAACAGGACTTAGGTTAGAGTCATAGAGTCATACAGCATGGAAACAGGTCCTTCAGTCCAATTAACTATTCCCGTCAACCATGTTTCCAAACTAAACTAGTCCCACATGCCATGTTTGGTCCAAATTCTTTTAAACCAAGCCGAACCAGAACAAGATGAAATCTTTGAAAAGGCACATAATCAAACCAAAAAAATTTGAAATACACCACAACATATTTTTGAGCATAATTTCACATTACAAAGCTAAAAAATGGGTAAATGACACAAAACAAACTTTTTGTTTTAAAAAAGTAAGGTTTGTCTCTAGAGATGAAGCTTTAATCTTAAATGTATTTAGTCACAATTATGCCCAATATTTTAGCCACATTTTACATACTACCTGGTTTTATACTCAATCCATTTGCCCGCGCAATACATACACCAATGCAAAAGAAAACGTAAATAATGATAAAACAGCAGTTATTTTGAAACTGATATTTAAAGAGAGGAAGGCAGTCAGAGGTAGCAGAGGAACTTGGAGTGGGAGGGGAAAAGTCCAGTTGTCATAGTCTACGTTGGTACCAATGATATAGATAGAAAAAGGAAAGAGGTTCTAAGGGAATGTGAGCAGCTAGGGACTAAATTAAAAAGCAGAACCAAAAAGGCAATAACCTCTATGATTAGTACCTGAGCCACAAGTTAATTGACACAGGGTCATCAAGATTAAAGAGGTAAACACATGGCTGAAAGATTGGGAGGTTTGGGAGAAACAGGTTCAAATTCATAGGGCATTGGCACCACTACTGGGAAGGAAGGAGCGGCTGTGATGGGATGTGCTCCATCTGAATCATGCTGGGACCCACAGTCCTGGTGAATTGATGATTAGTCATGATCTGATTGAATGGAGGAGACAGCTCAAAAGGCCAAATGGGCTACTTCTGTTCATATTCCTTCTGGTCTTATGGCTTTGTTTTTTTTTCAACAATAATATAAAGAGTAAAATCATGGATTGACAATGTTTTTGGACGGAGCTAGATAGAGGAAGGGAAATTAAAAAGGGTGAAAGACTAAAACAACAAACTGGCAGATGACATGAATGGCAAATTGTAAACAACTTTATAAATGGATAAAAGTAAGGTAACTTTCTAGAAAGGGTAGTATCAGACAGTAAAAATAGAAATATTCATATAGAGAATGAAGAGATTCCAAATATGTTAAACAAGTGCAGTGGTGGAAATAAAAAGGGCAAAAGATGGAGAGTGGCGGAATTAAATCTGAAACTAGGGTCCTGAACTTAAAGAAAGCAAACTTTGATGGTATGAGGCATACATTGGCTAAGATAAGCTGGCCAAAGATACTTAAAGGGTTGATGGTAGATAGGCAATGGTAGACATTTGAAGAACACAGGAACGTAGAAGTTTGAAGTTCATCCATATCTGGCATAAGACTAAAATATGGCTAACAAGTGAAATCAGGGATAGTATTAAAGCCAAAGAGAAGGCATATAAATTGGCCAGAAAAAGCAGCAAACCTGAGGACTGGAAGAAATTTAAAATTCAGCAGAGGAGGGCAAAGGGTTGAATTTGGAAGAGGAAAATGGAATATGAAAATAAGCTTGTAGAAAACATAAAAACTGACTGAAAAAGCTTCTATAGATACGTGAAGAGAAATAAACTAGCAAAGACAAATGTGGGTCCCTTGCAGTTAGAATCAGGTGAATTCATAATGGACAAGAAAGAGATGGCAGACCAGTTGAACAAATATTTTGGGTCTGTCTTCACTAAGTAGAAGACAAATAACCTTCAGGAAGTGCTACGGGATGGAGGGTCAAGCATGAAGGAAGAACTGAAGGAAATTCTTAATAGTCAAGAAATGGTATTGGAGAAACTGATAGGATTAAAACCTGCTAAATCCCCAGGGCCTGATGCTCTGCATTCCAAAGTACTCCAAGAAGTGGCCCTAGAAATAGCGGACACATTGGTGATCATTTTCCAGTATTCTGTAGACTCTGAAGAGTTCCAATGGACTGGAGGGTAGCTAATACAACCCCATTCTTTCAAAAAGGAGGAAGAGAGAAAATGGGGAATTACAGGCCAGTTAGCCTGACATTGGTGGTGGGGAAAATGCTGGAGTCAATTATTAAGGTTGTAATTACCGAGCATTTGGAAAACGGTAACAGAATCGGTCCTAGTCAGCACGGATTCACTAAAGGGAGTCATATTTGACAAATCTTCTGGAATTCTGAGAATGTGACCAGTAGAGTGGACGAGGGTAAATTAGTAGATGTTGGGTATATGGACTTTCAAAAGTCTTTTGGCAAGGTTCCACACAAGAGATTAGTAAGGAAAATTAAAGCTCATGAAATCAGAGGTAATGTATTAACATGCATAGAGAACTGGTTGGCAGACAGGAAGCAGAAAGTTGGAATAAAAGGGTCTTTTCAGAGTGGCAGACAGTGACGAGTGGAGTGCTGCAGCGTTCAGTGCTGGGACCCCAGCTGTGCACAATATACATTAACAACTTGGATGAAGGAATTGAATGCAAATCTCCAAATTTGCAGATGACCCACTACAATGGGTGGCAGTGAAGAGGATGCTATGAGGCTGCAGAGTGACTTGGACAGACTGGCTGTGTGGGCAAATACTTGGCAAATGCAATATAATATGGATAGATGTGAGGTTATCCACTTTGGTCGCAAAAACAGGAAGGCAGATTATTATCTGAATGGTGGCAGTTTAGAAAAAGGTGAGGTGCAACGAGACCTGGTGTCATGGTGGAACAGTCACAGCAGATGCAGCAGGCAGTGAGGAAATCTAATGGCATGCTGGCCTTCATAACAACAGCATTTCAGTATGAGAGTAGGGATATTTTGCTGCAGTTATATAGGGCCTTGGTGAGGCCACACCTTGAGTACTATGTGCAGTTTTGGTCTCCTAGTCTGAGGAAGGACATTTTTGCTATTAAGGGAGTCAAGCGAAGATTCACCATACTGATTCCTGGAATGGCAGCACTGACATATGAGGAAAAGACTGGATTTGTTGGGCTTGTACTTGCTGGGATTTAGAAGAATGAGGGGGAATCTTATAGAAACATATAAAATCCTGATGGTCCTGGACAGGCTAATTGCGGGAAGAATGTTCCTCATGTTGGGGAAGTTCAGAACTAGGGAGTCACAATCTAAGAACAAGGGGTAAGTCATTCAGGACTGAGATGAGGAAGAACTTCTTCACTCAGAGTTGTGAACCTGTGGAATTTTCTCCCACAGGAAGCTGTTGGGGCCATTCATTGGATATATTCAAGAGGGAGCTAGATGTGGCCCATGTGGCTAAAGGGATCAAGGGGTATGGAGAGAAAGCTGGAGTGGGATACTGAAATTGCATGATCAGCCATGATCATATTGAATGGTGACTTAGGCTAGAAGGGTGGAATGGCTTACTGTCACACCTATTTCCCGTGTTTCTAAAGTAAGGCTTGTGAAAAATGAACAGAACTCAAAAGGTAAAGATATGCTGCCATGCTAAAGCATATCAGAAAGTAATAGCATACGAGGGGTCCTGGTTACTCATAGAAGACATCTTTCTGCAAAGTATGATGAAAAGCAAGGATTTATTTTCCATGAGAGTTAATGGATGAATTTTCTGCAATACTCCAAAATAACAACATAAATATGAAACAGCTGACCGAATACTGAAAATTGTTCCCTCATGAAAAAGGAACATATTTGCAAAACAGCTAACATTCAATGAATAACATGGATCCCCTGTAAACTCTTAAAGAAATCTTTCTAACATCCACATCTGTGAATATCAATCTCAAGGGATGGAAGGTTGCCACACATAGCAGGGCTGCACCAAAAGAATACACTAAGCAATTATAGACCAATTAGCTAACACTGTGGAGAGAAATCAGAGTTAACGTTTTGGGTCATGTGAGCCTTCCTATCAGTTCTGAGGAAGAGTCACCAGATCCAAAACGTTAACTCTGATTTCTCTTCACTGATGTTGCCAGACTTGCTGAGCTTATCCAGCAACTTCTGTTTTTGTTTCTGATTTGCAGCACCCGCAGTTCTTTCGGTTTTTGTTTAGTTGTGTACAACTTCTAGAAGGCATAATACTGAGTAAAATTCATATCTAGACACACAAGTTAGCTAAGTAAAGCATTAATTTCCAAAATATGTAACACACTGAGCGTGTAGTTGTGTACATTTTATAAAGTAATAATGCACGTTTATATTCCAAGACAAATTCATGTTGGGACAGCACCATGAGATAACGGTAGAAATGAGCCATCTCACTTTCACCCTGGTTGTTTCTGGATGAGGTCATTTATTGTGCCTAGCAAAAATTACTGTCTCCTATATCAAATTAACCAGTGCTTTGCTTAAATGTGTAAGGAGTTCAAAAGTGAAAATATTGTACTGGTCTTCAGGAAGTGGTTCAGATAGCTTTATAGCTTCACACTGATATTTAAAATACAAGAAATAGAATTCCTATATACTTGCTAAATTGTTTTTTTCATTGCGTTCTCCATCAAAATTAAGTTCATTTCAGTGAATACGCTAGAAATTCTATCAGGTGCTTTACTTGACAGTCAACAAGGATGTATACGGGTGCAGTTCTGACATCTGGGACCAGAATAAATATCCAACTTCAATATAAACAATACACTGATTGTGACCAAGATTGAGTGAAGGCCCTTTTCAAATTACGCTCAAGGTACAGTTGAATCTATATCATTAATGTCAGGTCCAAAAGCAGATAACAGGAGTTGGAGTTTTGTTAGCTACATTTTGCAGAGATGAAGAATATGGGAAATCTATAGCTGCCAGGGCCAGCATTCAGTCTATCTTGGGAGTATAGGGAGTCCTCACTTAAAGTTGTAGTTTCATTCTTGAAAATCACAACCTTAAGTAAAATGACTTTAAGCAAACCATATTTTCCCATTAAAACCAAGTAAAAGCTATAGTTAGGTTTTGTAGGACATTCCTCATCAGATGAGAAGCAGTAAAACATTATGCCTTTTAAGTTGAAATACTTAATATCACTAAATTCGTATATTGTGAAATGGAATAACAAAATAAAATAAACTAAAAAATATAATGAAATTATGGTAACTTTTTACAGAGTGTAAGTAGCTCCTGCTTGCTACACATCCTGCTCTCTAACTGCAAACTCTTTCTTTTCAAATGTCAGCCTCTGTCAATCCCTGACTCACCCTCTTGCCAATCCTCAGATGTGCAGCCTTTCTACCTCCCTAATCTGTCTTCAAGGTCACAGCCTGCCCTACTTCCTAATCTATCCTCTCGATGATGATCCTTCAGCTTGCAGTTTCTCCTGCACCCTAACCCACTTTTATTGCTGATCCTCCACCTTGTCAAACCTTGCTGTTGACACATCCCCCTCCTGAATCCTCAATGAGAGGCACAAAAAGCAACTTTGACATGCCATTGGTAAGGTTTCTTCAACTGGGTTTGAGATCAGCTTCACTCCTATTTAATCAGAGATCTTTCTTCCCACTTTCCCTCCCAGGATTTAAAGCCAGTGGGAGCGGTTCCCATGTTCACAGTGCGGGCAGAAGCTGTGTGAGTAGGGCTGCTGCTCTGCTAGTTTTACTGTGGCAGAAAGTAGCAATGTCCCAGACGTGTCTCAAATATATGTTGTGATCATACATCAATTACAAGGACATTTATGATCAAAAAAAAAGGTGAAGTTGATCACAAATCCACTTGAGAGAAACTACCACAAGCTGCTCCTTCTGACTCTTGCTACACATCTCCAGAGCTGATGTTTTTTTGTTTATATTTTTACATTTATTTTGAAAATTGTTTCATTTATCAATACAGGAATTTATCGATATAAAGTATTTCAGCTTAATTGTTCTTTTTCTGACAAGGAAGGTCTCCGTAAGGTAACCAGAGCTGTTCCTTTGGTTTTAACAGGAAAATGCGATTTGTTAAGATATTTTCAGCTGAAGTCATGATTTTCAGAAATACAAATGCAACTTTAATGGAGGACTGACTCTCTGATTCACTACACAAGAGGGTGCACATGTTCAGAAATAAGTTCAACCCAAACGATCAAGAATTGAATCAATTTACTTACTCAAGTGTTGAGTTGAATAATTGGGTGTGGCAGTGCAGAAGAACTTCTGTATGTAATCATTTTTTAACATATGAGATGGTAAAGATATCAAATATCTGCAAGAAAACCAAACTAAAAATAAGATATATTAAATGAATATTATAAAAAGCTTTAAATGAAGCATTCATAATAAAATACCATTCTAAATTTGGTTTTAAACAAGTTTGAGTTACTAGTGTCAAGAAGGAAATAGAATCATAATCAAACACCACAGAAAACAGACCATTCAGTCCAACTCGTCCAAGCTGACTAAGTTTCCCAAACTAAACCAATCTCATTTACCTACGTTTGGCCCATATCCCTCTAAACTCTTCCTATTCATGTACCCGTCCAAATGTCTTTAAATGTTGTATCTGTACCCGGATCTATCACTTCCTCTAGCAGTTCATTCCACATACAAACCATGCTCCATGTGAAAACGTTGCCCCTCAGTTCCCTTTTAAATCTTTCTCCTCTCACCTTAAAAATATGCCTCCTGGTTTTGAATTCCCCCACTCTACGAAAAAGACCTTTGCTATTCTTCTCGTCTATACCACTCATGGTTTTAATTTATTTTAGTTTAGTTCTGTATAATCTTACGATCAAGAAAGATAGAAAAGGTACAGTCAGACACTGAGATTCTACAACACAATCTTTTCATCGTGCCCACACATACTCTAGACAATGGAAGAGTAGCGTCTACTACCTTTGCTGAGATGTTCCATCCATGGGAACCTCTCTACAACGCCAAAGCTAACACAAAGTGTAAAGTATATTCATCTGCTGATGTGACAACTAGTCTAACTACTGAGCGATTAACTTTAAAATGAATCTTGAAAATTGCTTCAAAAACCCCCATCGGACAGATAGAATTGTGGCGTAGAATCAACACTATAGGGCTTTTATCATTGATTAGAATACTCTACTGACCATGCAAAGATTTTCACACCTGAGATATGGCTCCAGATCTGAATACTTTTTCTCTTCTGTGTAACAGCAGTCATGGTTGGTGGTTTCTGGAAAGGAATTTTCCAAATTCTCATCTGGGAACATTTGAGGAAGCTGTAAAATTATGAAAAAAAAATTTAACTTTAACAAATGGCACTTTCCAAATTTAACAGGACTAACCTTGTCATTAGTGCCCAGGAAAAAATTAATCTCTGGATAATAATAACAGGAAAGAAGGAACACATGCATGATGCTGGGTCTCCATACTCTTTATTTGGCTACAGAATTTTGGAGATTGCCTAAAAGGCAATAGGCACAAGCACAGCATTTACACATAAATAAAGTGTAAGGACTTTAAAACAAAATCATTCATGAGATGTAGGCATTGACAGCTAGGCCAGTATTCATTTCCTATTGCTGGTTGCCCTTGAGAAAATAGTGGTCAGTTGCTTTCTTGAACTGCTGTGGTCCATATGGTGTAGGTATCCCCACAATGCTGTTCAGGAGGGGATTCCAGGATTTTGATCCAGTGACACTGAAGGAACAAGGACACATTTCCAAGGCAGGCTGGTGTCTTCTGCCCGATGGAAGTGGGTGGAAAACAGTATAACCTGGGTGGGAGGGGTCTTTGATTATGTTGATCGCTTTCCCAAGGCAGCAGGAAGTACAGATAGAGTCAATGGATGGAAGGCCGATCTGCGTGATGGACTGGGCTATGTTCACGACTCTCTGTAGTTTCTTGTGGTCTTGGGAAGAACAGTTTGCCATACCACACCTGTGATGCATACAGATAGGATCCTTTCAATGGGGCATCTATAAAAATTGTTAAGAATCTTTGTTGCCATTCTGAATTTTATAAATGAGGAAGTAGAGGTGTTGTTATGCTTTCTTGACCGTTGCATCAACGTGGGTGGACCAGGACAGATTGTTGGTGGTCATTCCTCCCTGGAACTTGACGATTTCAAACATCTTTACCTCAGCACCATCAATGCAGCCAGAGGCGTGCCCTCTACTCCACTTCCTGAAGTTAATGACCAACTCCTACTGATGTTGATGGAGAGATTGTTGTCTTTACGCCATGCCACTAAGCACTCCATCTCATTCCTGTAATCTGTCTCATCGTTATTTGAAATTCGAATTACAATGGTGGTGTCGTCAGCAAACCTCTAGGTGGAGTTGGGGTGGAATATGGCCACACAGTCATGAGTGTATAAGGATTATAGTAGGGGAGCTGAGTACCCAGTCTTGAAGGGCACCTGTGTTGAGGATAATGGTGGAGGAGGTGTGGTCACAAATTCTTACTGATTGCAGTCTATGGGTCAGGAAGTCAAGGATCCAGTTACAAAGGGGACAGCCAAGACTTAGGTTTTGGAGTTTAAAGATGAGCTTGTTTGGAATTATGGTGTTGAAGGAGGACCTGTAGTCAATAAGTAGAAGCCTTAGGTATGTATTGTTGCTGTCCAGATGTTCCAGGGATGAATGTATGGTCAGGGAGACGGCTTCTGCCATAGACCTGTTGCAACAGTAGATGAATCGCAAAGGATCAAGGCAATTTGGTGCGTTGGAGTTGATGAACCATGACTAACCTCTCAAAACACTTCATAGTTATGGAGGTCAGAGCCCCCGGACAGTAATCATTGAGGCATGCCATATGATTTTTCTTTAGTATCAGATTGATTGTGGTCAGGTGGGGACTTCAGATCATTGTAAGGAAAAGTTAAAGATGTCAGCAAATACTCCTATCAGCTGCTCCGCACAGGATCTGAGTGCTCAGCCGGGGCCTCCATCCCGTCCGGTCGCTGTCCGCGGGGTGCACTCTCAAAAGACTGATCTAACATCTGCAGCGGTGACAGTAGGTACAGGTGCAACCGAGGCTGTTTGACACGTCATATCATTTCACTGACGTTCTGTTCAACATGAGCTTAGAATGCATTGAGCTCATCTGTTATGGATGTATTGTTGCCCATGATTCTGTTCAGCTTTGCTTTGTAGCCCGTTATGTTGTCTAAGCCATGCCACAAACAACAGGTGTCCATGTGGTTAAACTGGGTCTCAAGCTTAATTTGGTATTGCCTCTTGGCATCTCTGATGACCTTGCGTAGGTCATATATGGATTTCCTATACAGGTCAGGGTAACCTCACTGGAAGGTTTCAGACCTGGACTTCAGCAGGGAGTGGATCTCCCAGTTCATCCATAGTTTCCAGTTGGGGAGCATTCAGATTAATTTCTTCAGCACACAGTCACCTATGTGCTTATTAATGAAGTCTGTAATGGTGGTAATATACTCGTTTAGGTTCACTGCTGAGTTCTTGAATATGGATCAGTCCACTGACTCTAAGCAGTTCTGTAGAAACTCTTCCACTGCCTCAGACCAACACTGCGCTACTTTCTGTACTGGGTCCTCACGCTTCAATTTCTGCTTGTAAGCCCGGGGGAGAAGCACAGCACTGTAAACGGATTTTCCAAAATCTGGATGGGGGATGAAGCAATAGGCATCTTTGATGGTTGCATAGCAATGATCAAGGATGTTTGGACCTCTGTTAAGACATGAATGGTGCTGAACATGGCACAATTATTGGTGAACATCCCCACTTCTGGATTCATGATGGAGGGAAGGTTATACAAGATGTAGCTGAAGACAGTTAGGCCTTGGACACTACCCTGAGGAACGCCTACAGAGATGTCCTGGAGTTGAGACAACCAACCTCCAACAACCACAACCATCATTTTTTGTGCCAGGTATGACTCCAACCAGGATAAAAACTTGCCCTTCATTCCCATTCATTCAATTTTGATTGGGCTCCTTGATGTCACTCTCAGTCACATGCAACCTTTATCAAGGGCAGTCAAGCTCACCTTGCTTCTGGAATTCAATTCTTTAGTCCGTGTTTGAACTAAGGCTGTAATGAAATAAGAAGATGAGTACTGCTAGCAAAACTCAAACTGAGCATCAGTGAGCAGGTCACTGCATAGCAAGTGCTGCTTGATAACACTATTGATGATGCCTTCCACCACTTTACTGATGATCAAGTGTGGACCGATGGAGAAGTTTGATTGTCCTATTTTTTGTGCACTGGACGAACCTGGGCAAATTTCCACATTGTTATATAAGTGCAAGTATTGTAGCTGTACTGGAATACTACTTGGCTAATAGCGCATTAGATCTGAAGCACAAGTCTTCAGTACTGTTACTAGAATGTGGTCAGGATCTATAGCCTTTGTAGTATCCAATGTCTTCAGCTATTTCTTCATATCATGAGGAGTAATCCAGTTGGCTGAAGTTTGACATCTGTGATGCTAGGGGCAATACACAAACACAAACTATTCTGCACTTTCACCAGTGTGAATGCAACCAGATTAAAATATATCTCATCACTCATCAATTTGGGCATTCTGGATAGGTGCACAGTACTTCAGGTACTTTTTTTGCCTGCTCAGAATCTGGATGGATAACACAGGAAAATTGAAAATACTGGAATTTATAAAAACAATTTATTGCAAAAAAATTATACATTATTAATTTTTTTGTACAAATGAAAGAACAAAACATTTTAATTGCAAGTGATTTAAAGACCTTTAATTGGTTTTTTTAATTTTCTGCCTGGATGTACACTGCATACTTAGCATGTAACTCGTGTCACATCGCATCGACCACAGTCAGTCAGGAACTGGAAGGCAGTTTGGGATATTTATTGCCATTCTGCTTCTGCCCAAGTATGGCAGCATTCACCTTCATTATAATACAGTAAATGCACTTGAGAAATACAACAGAATATCTATTATGTGCCTTACTGAAAAGAACACATCTGCCTTCAATGGATCCATAATATTATTTACCTATTACTTCATAAACTTCCTTAAAGTTAGAACTAACTTATTTTGCCTTTTGCTTTTTAAAATATCATATTCTGCACTATTCAGATTTATTTTTGCATTACCTCCTACCTGAACTTGCTGTGTTTGCACAAAATACACATATCCTCATTTGCTCCCCCATCCGATTTTTCTCCTCTTGGATGTACAATTGTGCAAAAGATTTTAATTTTATTTTTCTTTTCCTCAATGATCCCTGTGGATTAGTACTATTTTACTGAAGCTAGCACTGTACCAACGTACCAGGGAGAATTTCCCTTTGTCAAATCTCCAGTCTGCTCTTTCCAATCCTGTACCCCCTCTCCCCAAATGATTTCACAGATTCCAAAGGATCCATCAACTACTATTACCCTTAGCCTTTATGACTACTATGTCCTTTCACAAGAATGCCAACATCATTGTGAATGAAACAATTAACAATCTCTCCCATTGAGAAATGCAGTTTTCATTGAATCTTTTATGGCACTGAAGTAGGCCACTCAAACTAGTGTGCCAATGCCACATTTACAGTTAGTCTATCCAATTAGCCCAACTCCCCAGTCTCTTCCCATAGCTGTACAATTATTTTCTTTTCAATTATATACCCACTTTTTAAAATATAATTTACTATGGAATCTGCTTCAACTGACCCTTTATGTAGTGTATTCCATAACGTAACTCGCTAGGTAAAAAGAAAATCTTAACATCTTAGGTTATTTTGTCAACATTAAATCTGTGTCTTCTATTTATTGACCTTCTTGTCAGTGAAACAGTTCCTTCTAGATATCCTAACAAATTTATTTTGCATCCTGTAGAAAGCTTTCACATCCTTCTTGCACAATTTTCCAGATGAGGTCTCAACAAATATTTTTACAAAGATTTAGTACAACTTCCTTGACTTTGCATTCAATGCTTCTACTTACAAAATCAATTGTTCTGTATGCTTTCCTGACAGCCTCATTGAGTCCTGCCACCTTCAAAGATTTGTGTAACTTCTCTATTAGCTACACATCCAATACACTTGGGCAGCCCAAACAACTTGGTTTATGATGGAGATCTCACCTGCACGTTCCAGTTCATTTAAAAGCAAGATGCTGTGGGTGCTGGAGATGTGAAATAAAAAGAAAGTACAGGAGAAACTCAGCAGGTCTGGGAGAATCTACGGAGATAGAAACAAAGTTAATGTTTTGAGTCAGATAGGACTGTTCTTTGGAATGGATTTTCTCCAGCACTTTGTTTTTATTCTGTTACAGTTAATTCT